ATTTTCTTTTAATAAAAGCCTCTCCGAGGCCTGACGCCACACCCACTGTGTCTGTCATTTGCTCCTCCCGCCACAACATTCAATGCTGTACATACCAGTGTCTTACATGTATAATTCTCCCTATTAGTATCATTTATGGGTGAAGTTATCACCGAGCTTGAAATTGTGTTGAAGTGTTTTCCATTGACAAACCAGTGGCTATGGAGAGGACACAAGAGAATGAGAGTGTGCATGCAATTCAGCAACAATCAGTGGTTCTCATGGTGTTTGTTTCCCTTTTTTTCAGCTTCTGACTTGGTACAACCATGAGTGGGGGAGTGAATGTGAAGAGTCTTCCACGAGCTCAGCCGGGCTCCGGCATCCCTCTGCACAGGACTAGACTCCCCTCCCCAAAACCTGAGCCCAAGAGCACCAGCAGTGGCCTTCCGAGACCATCCACACATGACCCCGTTAGCAACAGAACCTCCTGTAGCGGCAGCCCTACAGCTGTCTCCTCCAGAGACGTGCTTAGGGACACCACCCTCAGAAACCAGCATCTGCTACTAAGAGGCAGTCCACCTAGTCAACGTGCTTCCACTAGTCCTCAAACACAGACCCAAGACTCTAGATCAGCCCACAGCAGTCCACAAGTTCGACGGAAAGAGTCCCCATTTTCGAGGGGTACTATGGATGGGTCCAAGACCGAGAGTTTGCTTGACCTTCGGTACAATGGCAACAAGAACTTCCAGAGTGGAATCTTTCATTCTCAAATGGGACGAATGGACAACGATAACAGTTTGATCTCAGAAGAACTCAAATGCCACGAGGAGAGCGTTGCTTCTGGAAGCAGTCAAAACAAGACGGGAATCCCTTCATTCAGATTTAGTAACAGAAACTTGAGGCCTGGTCCAGCGGCCACTAATGTAGATATGGGTCTCCTCAGAGTCTGTCGAGAGAGAGTGTCCCTGCAGATCAGTGCCTCCAGTAGTTTTTCAGATGAGGAGATGTGCACTCCAGATGACCTCAGTCCCGAGGTCCCACAGAAGCCACCCCCCGAGACTACTGCAGTCCTGAAACAGGAAACTTCTAGTGTTGAGATGCTCAAAGCCAAACAGTTACCAAAGGTCAACATGGCTGCTGTGGCACCTTTCAGATACAGGTAAGTTATGGAAAATTTATTGAAGGATTGTAGCGCTACTATGATTAAAAAATCAGCTTAGACCAGGATGAGAAAAAAGTAGGGGTGCGTTTCCCATACAACTATGTAACTGGCTGCTTAACAACCATAGTATGATATGTCAGTGGAGAAATTAACAACAAAATGTTTTAACCACAGATCGAGAACTGCTATAACCGCACACATTTGCAATGTTGTTTGTGAAGGTTAATTGGAATGATAGTTTCAGGAAATGCTGAATTGTTAGTAAGGACAGAACTTTTGGTCATTGTTGGGTATTAGTTAGTTGGGTCAATGCTTTGGGAAATGCACCCCAAGCTGGAGTATTTTGGTTAGTGCAGATTTAGTTTAATTTAGACCAGTGTAGTGTAGTCATGGGGTTCTCAACACTGGTCCTCAAGTTTCACTTTCCTTTAGAGTTTATCTCCAACCCTAATCAAACACACCTGAAAAAGCTAATCAAGGGCTTCAGGATCACTAGAAAGTTACAGGCAGGTGAGTTTGATAAAGGTTGGAGCTAAACTGGAAAGTGGATCTCGAAGGCTCATGATGTCTTCTCTGGTGAAGATTTTTGACCAAAGAAGGGCTTGCTAGTTAAGCCATCTAAAGGGGACATCAGCACCTCATGCTTGAGACCAATGTATTAAACACAACATCTACTGATGACTAGCTATGCTGGTCTTTTCAGCAAGGAGGTTTCATACAGTAGGTGTACCTCACATAAATTCCTTTCAGTTAACCCTTGGCTAACATATTAACTGTGCTTTTAACCCTGTGTTAACCAAAGTTTCACACTTGTAATTTTAAAAGGGAATTAGTGCCACACTCAGAAAAAATGTTCAGAAATTGTACTTTTAGGGATACAACAGTTTGTCCCTGGGGCAGTATCCTTGTATAGCCCTAAAAGATGTATATTAGTACCATAGAGTAGTGATATGTAGGTACTACTATAAACCTTGTAGGTGTAAATAAGGTACAAAATCACTTAGAGGGTTCTTCCCATGGTTTGTCTGAGAGATCACTTTAAACCTGGAATAATAAAGTCCTGCTCACAGTCAGATCCATGGTCAAGAGGGTTGCCCACTGAGGTCATCTATGCAAGACAGTTAAATTTAATGCATATAATATTGTTAACCATGTAAATATGCAAATAAGAGAATTAACCCAGGGTTTACAAATGTCAGGTTTAATTCAGTCAGGATAGATCTAGCTCACTCAAGATAACCCAAGATTACATTAGGATCTGTTTTGAATAAATCATTCTGGCCTACAAGTTTCAAGTGTGAAACATCCAAAAGAGCTTGAGTAAACAAATTTGTGCTGTTATGATAGACAGTGGAAATTCTAATCAGTAAAAATGCACTGTATCTTTCTACCAAGCTAGTGTGCAACAAACTGAATGAAACTTTATTCGTTTTTACAGCGTTTCAAGTGTTTTCGAAATTGTCTTAACTTGTTTTAACTGCTGCACATTTATTGTATTACATGGTTCATTACTTTTCTAGTGATTCAGTTCTGTTGCTGCATAATTTGTCTTTCCTCTGTCTGTCCTCATATATGTCTGTGCCCAGCTCAGGCTCTCATTTTGGCTCCCTAACTCTTTTTCTCCCCATTTGATCCAGTTTTGACAAATATGACAGTCCATCATTTATGCTGACAGATTAGCCTCTTATTCCACTCGTAATCTTTCCAGGGCCGAATCAGTCATGCGGTTTAAGTTTCTGTCCTGCTCTCAGAGACTGTGTCGCTCCTGCCCTCTGTATGCCTGCTGGGAATTCTGGGGCAGAGTAGATGCTTAAAAAGCTTCTCCTGCCAGTGCGAACACTCTCTGAATTATCTGCTCTAATGACTCAGTGCAGCGGACACCCGGTGGGCACGGGATACATTGGCATCAGGGCGACTGCCATGTTAGCGTAGCTGAATATAAACCAGGCGTTATAGGGACAAAGCTGCTGTCTGAAAATAGCACTAAACATTGATTATTTTCAGATTGTTATTTCTAGATTGTTAACAGTTAGTGAAAAATACCAAGAATTATGCCACATCTAAACTTCTAGGCTGACGTTCAATTAATGTTTGGTACATGTTTCCTAGTGGGTTTTTGGTTATGAGACTCTTGGAAAGAGCAAGCATTGTGTCTAATTGACTTATTCTTTTCATTTTATGTAGACTGCAGATTCAGGAAGACATATCTTTGGATGACTTCAGCGACTGTTCCTCTGACTCAATAGAAGTCTGGTGTGATGACCTCAATACTGGTGAGTTGTTGGCACTCTCATTTGGACTCATTTTATTACCTTTTGGATAGACTTTAATATTAATCTAAATGACCAGTTATGTTTTTAAGTTATGTACACATTACAAAGTGCCCAATTTTGACCTTTTGAATTTTTGTGACCTTTTAAATATGTCCAATATAAGATGCTCCTGAACTGAACCTACAATGGGTACGGAAAGTATTCAGACCCCCTTCAATTTTTCAAAAAAGACTCATGGCTGTATTAGATCAAAAGGGTGCTTCTACTAAATACTGAGCAAAGGGTCTGAATACTTAGGACCATGTGATATTTCAGTTTTTCTTTTTTAATAAATCTGCAAAAATGTCAACGATTCTGTGTTTTTCTGTCAATATGGGGTGCTGTGTGTACATTAATGAGGAAAAAAAATTAACTTAAATGATTTTAGCAAATGGCTGCAATATAACAAAGAGTGAAAAATTTAAGGGGGTCTGAATACTTTCCGTACCCACTGTACATACATAAAACACACTAGCCTGGCACATTCATCATAATCTACTTTCATAAATGTAAATTTAGCTAATATATGTGTTTGACACAGTTCAAAGCAAGAGTCACATTTGTGGCATCAGTATATATTTTAAATCAATATATATTTATGTATATGTATATGTTCCTCTCTGTGCAATATTTCATAAAGTCTGATTTGTTAATTATCTTAAAATTCATGCCAAGGTAAAATCAAGTGTGCAGTTACATTAGGTTTAGTTGAAATTGCATGAATTCTGACATGACTGTTCACACTAAAGTCACATTGCAAAAAAAAAGAAAAAAAGAAAAAAAAAAAGTGATGCATATCTGATTAAATTCCGTGTATGGAAGTTTGAAATTAAGAATTACAAACATTTCCAGATTGGAATTTAAAGTGTCAGAATCAATGCAAGTTTTGTTGCTCAAACTCAAAAATGTGGTACGCATGAGGGAATATTTTGGCTACATTTATCTGCAGCGTTTCCACAAGACAGATTGAGCTAACGAAAAGAACAAACATGAAATATTTCCTATGGCTTGATTGGAATCCTAACAGTTGAAGACAGAAAGCATTACATCTGTCCTTCCATCTACTTTCTGGCCTAATTCTCCATCTCTAAGTGCCCTTTTGCCCATGGCGGTGGGTGCGTAGTGCAGTAAGAGAGTGATGGCTGCAGGTTTTCCGTTCACTACAGAGAGAGTGAATACAGCAGTCACAAAGACAGTCTTCATCCCACTGCTCTGACACACACTGGCCTAGTCTGACCCTCACTCAGACAGGCTTTATGCCAACCAGACCACCCCCAACTGTAGATGGAGAGTTCAGCTGTACGGGCTCTTTTACACTTTAAACTATTAAATGTAAAGGGTACAAAAAGGGTTTTACAGTCTGTTGCCATAGAAGAACCTCTTTAAGCTCCAAAGACAATGTTGTTGCTTGAAAGTGTTGCTTTTACACAGAACACCCTTGCAAACATCCAGAACACCCTACCAACCACCTAGCAATTGCTCAACAAGTATATCAGTGATTCTTGATTCACGAGTCTTTGCTAAACCTAATCTACTGTAAAGAACAATTGAAGAACCTTTATTTTGAAGTGTAATTTCAGTATGGTATGAATGTTATATATCTAATGTGTTCATGTTCACAGTGTTTAAGCTCATTTGGACTGCATATTTGAAGATGTTTCACATATAACACATTTTGATGTAATTTTTGCGGAACACTGAACAAATTGAATGAGGGTGTGGTGTTGCTGAACTTGATTAAATGTCTGGTTTAACCAGTGGTGGAAAGAGTACTGAAAAAATATACTCAAGTAAAAGTACCATTACCTTCCAAAAAATGTAGTGCGAGTAGAGTAAAAGTACTTGTCCAAAAAAACTACTTGAGTAAGAGTAAAAGAGTAGCCTATTTAAAAGTACTCATGAGTATTGAGTAGTGAGTACTGAGCTGTGGATTCTACCCCCTCATAATAAACGCTGTACACCGCATTTTATACATTTGAAAAACGTTGTACATTCTGTAATTCACATTATCTTGTTTGTCATAAAGAATGAAGAATATCTATCATCCAGCAGTTTTAATTTTGACTGCCAACTCTTTAAAATACATCAAAACAGCACGGAAACAGTATTCAGTTGAAGAAAAGATGAAAGTTATTCTCAGTACAATCATCCCCATTTAAATCATAAAGTTTGAAAAAAATTATTTAAAATCATGTGTAAGGCCACTGAGACAGCATGCTGTTGTTGCACATAAAATATTAATGTTTAGAACAGTGCAAATACAAACACCATGAGAAACACATAGTTCAGCATTACACACCATGATATGGGTTAAAATGAGAGCCCATTTCTGACGGGGTCCGTCTATTGCTAGTAGCCCCGTTCTGGCCGGGCCGAGTATGGTTCTCGGACCTGATTTCTCTCCTCGACGGCGCTCCGTGGGAGATTCCCATCAGGAGAGATCTCCTCTCACAGGCGGAGGGTATGATCATCCATCCCCGCCCAGAGCTGTGGAAATTGTGGGTGTGGCCCCTGAGGGAATGAGACGCTGCGTCTCGGTGCCATACTTCCGGCGTCCCTGCCAGCGCTTGCTTCATTCCTAGGAGCTGACGCTGGTCTCACCGCACGTGCTTTTATAGCCTCCTGGTCATTACGTCACCCGCCGTGACGTCTCGCCCATCTATTGGTCTGATTACACACGAGGTTCAGAGCCCGTCACGCTGAAGG